TTTAAAAGAAAACTGAGGCTGAATTACTTCAAAAAATAAGAACACATTGAGGCTGATGTAAAATTTCAAATGTTTTTATTTGCATGCAATGTAAATAATTAACATTAATCAGTATTTCTTGCCATGCCTGTTGATTTTTGTTTAACTGCTTGAAGATCTTGATAATATGGACTAAATTAATGAATAAAAGTAGAGCAATTGATGATTCCAATAAGGTGAAACAAATAAATTTTTAATATACCTCAGTTCAGCCAGTTGCATCCCATCAGCACTTTCATTATCTCTCTGATCACTCACTGGGTATATACATTTAACTACACAACAGTAAACACAAGGTTGAAAGAAGTTTATGACAAAAATCTGAACTTTTATATGAATATTATTGAAACACTGTAGCACATTATATACCTACACAGAACTGCTTTAAAAACATAGCTGATTATAGAGTTCAATCCAATCCATTTATAAACATGTGTTAAATATTACAATTATATAATATTATCAATGTAGCCAACCAGCATATAAAATTTAAAAGAAACTAGAAATAATGAAAGTTTTGCTGTATTCATTATCATTTATCAGCAAGTACTGTTCTGTTATTTTGTTCTTTTCATATTGCATTGTAAAGTACAATACAATGCAATTCAAAAAGTCAATGGAAATTTTTATAAAGAAAATAAATGTGTTGTTGATAAATGTTCATACAAGGAAAAACCTTAATACTGGTAACATTTCTCAACACAGTGTATGGTATGATGTCATATCAAATACATAACAACATTCATACAAACAGTATACAGTTCCAATCTGATAGGACTACAGTACTTTCAATTGATTCATGTTTCTATCCATGGCCTATAATATGGCCTGAATTGCCACCAGATCCTTATCCCTCATGTAGTGACAAGGCTTCATCCTGATTTGCAGTAGCAGCCTCAAGTAATTCCACCACTCAGTGTTTCACATCTTACGAATTTCTCAATGGTGTTTACTCTATTAAAAGTACTTAATGTATTATTGTCTTTTTACAAAAAAATACATGGGAGAACATGACTTCGACCAGAAAGCACTTCCTTAATTCTTGACTTCAGCTTTCAGGTGATGCAGAATGAGCA